CATTCCATGATTTTCATGTACTTCTGCTTCAAAAAAATCCTGATAACCCTACCAGTCGCGCACGAACTAAAACCGGGAGTGGGCAATGATTCATCCGCCCTATTTGGCTATTAGGTCCCCTAATTTCCAGTCTTCCATTAAAAGGGGAAGTATATAAGGTATTTTCTCCCTCTTCTCTCCATGCCTTCGTGGTGTAACGGTAGCACACTCGGATCCTACTCTAGAGGTCAAGGTTCTAGTCCCGGCAAGGGCAATGCACCTTTCTCACATCTGCTTAGAAAAAAGTAATGACTTTAGAAGTTAACAAAACATTTCTTGTGAAACTGCAACAAAGAGAAAATTGAGTTTAAGATTTAGGCATGACTTTAAGATATTATCACCACTAGAATTTGGCTTTAGGTTCCCTAATTCCCAGTCGTTATTTAAAAGGGGAAGTATATAAGTTATTTTCTCCCTCTTCTCTCCATGCCTTCGTGGTGTAACGGTAGCACACTCGGATCCTACTCTAGAGGTCAAGGTTCTAGTCCCGGCAAGGGCAATGCACCTTTCTCACATCTGCTTAGAAAAAAGTAATGACTTTAGAAGTTAACAAAACATTTCTTGTGAAACTGCAACAAAGAGAAAATTGAGTTTAAGATTTAGGCATGACTTTAAGATATTATCACCACTAGAATTTGGCTTTAGGTTCCCTAATTCCCAGTCGTTATTTAAAAGGGGAAGTATATAAGTTATTTTCTCCCTCTTCTCTCCATGCCTTCGTGGTGTAACGGTAGCACACTCGGAAGGTCAAGGTTGGAGTCTCGGCAAGGGCAATGCGCCTTTTTTTACATATCCTGCTTAAAAGTAATGACAAGTTAACAAAACATTTCTTGTGAAACTGCAACAAAGAGAAAATTGACTTTAAGACTTAGGCATTTTGATCATATAATTTGTCATCTAAATTTCATTTATATCTTCGTCATGAATGTTGGCATAATATTAAAAACTGTATTCTTAAACGGTTTCCTATTAAATACAAATTTTAAATTTTGCTAATTAAAATAATTTTTCGTATTGCGTAAAAGCTTTTTCTTTTCATTATTATTATGAAGGAATCGGAAATTTCAAGTTTCAAAAGACTGATGAATCTCCTAGAATCAGCCATTCGTAGGGTTTGTGTTTATATCTATTTTTCTACTGTTTGCGCTATTTTCCTTCTCTCTAGAGTCTACATTCAGTTGTTAGTTATAAGAAGAATTATGGCCACTGATTGACCGTTCTGCTTTTATTCCTCTCCTTTTATAATAAATTTTTAGAGACTTTTAGAGACAACGGATGAGTAATAATATTAATCTTCAGATTTAAATCACATAATTTGCAAGAAATATTATTTATATCGGTTAACCGGATAACAACATACAAGCGAAGACTGCGAAGTACAGTGTGAAATAAAAATAAATAAATAAGTACACATTTTTTAATTGAAATTTAAAAGTTTTTATTTAGAGTTTAACGGCTCAAAGAAGATTTTACAATGGAAAAAGTCAAAAACGTTTTTAAAAAGAGATGAATGTGAAATAATTAAGGGACATTGTTCTGCAGTGACTAATCTCGCTTGTCTGATATCAGACCAAACCCATTAAATTCTTTGTGGCAAGAGGCAATATTGCGCCTGTTGTTGGCAAGAGCCTTGAGTTCCATACATGGCATCCACCCCCAATTTTGAAAAAAAACACCCCGGGGGGGACAGATCCAAGAGTCTCCTACCACCAACCTCTCGAGAGGACTTTTGGCTAGCCGTAAATTTAGAGTGCCCCTATTCCCGCAATAACTATATACTTTTAGAAAAATGCATGCCTTCTCCGGGATTTGAACCCGAGGCTTTAGGTACGGCAGTACATTGAGTAGACAACTCGCAGTTACCGGAGCAACAGATTAGTCTAGTTGGCTCTTGTAGTACTATTCTAGTTATTGAACATTAAAAGATATACTCCCTTGATAGGTACTACAACTTTAATAGGAGTTGCATATTTTCCAAGCAATTCAGCTAAGGTACCAAAAAAATTGAGTCACGCAACTCCCTACCCAGTTTAAGCCAGATAGTTCTACAACAACTGAAAATCAACATTATAAAAACAGCTCACCACGTAGAATAGTAACAGGACTGTAAGAGCAAAACCTACTGTAATGTAAGCTTATTACTAACCATTTTGTACGTACTTGTTAAAAATAATGTTGTAAAGCAGTTAAAAATGGCATAGAAAATCCAGTCAATGTGTAAATGATTTACAAGTTTGCTTTTTTATCTCAGTAAAAGTATTGTAAATATGAATTAATAATATAATAATGTTTAAATGTGCACATAACTGTCATGATTTTATCTAACTTTCACATGTAACTTGTGCAACACAATGTTTGTAGTTAGCACATCTATGCTTATACACAGGCCCTGTATGCCCATGTAATATTTATATTTTTAATCCAGAAAAATGTAATCCCTTCTGCCAGGATGACTATTAACACAGTAAGGCTTTTACAACAAAGTCGGGTCAGTGGGTTATCTCAGGCGGCACTCAGTCAGATTCACTAAACACTAACCCGGTTAGTCGGCTTAAAAAATGTAAAATATCATATAAAACGTACCCCTACCGTGTGATAATACAAATGGCTTTCAGCACAGCTGCAAATAATTATAAAAAATATCAGTTGGATTTATTAAGAATTAAATGTATTTAGTGTGTGTCAAATACATAAATTACTATTAAAGAAAAATTACTAATATAAATTATCACGAGCTGCATTCACGGCTTTTATTTTGTTAATGACTTAATGATTAAATTAAAAGGCTAAATAAAAGATCTTATAGAACGTTATATGCAATAAATTCTACCTAGAGAGTAAATGAAATAATCGAATAACATTCCAGTTGATTATAAACATAACGTTGCGTAACCCACGTAATGGAGACAAGATTTGCGAAGATTCTGAGTGCTTCAAATATTAAACCCAACTAATCGAATAACACAAAGATTTTGATATTATTCGTTGAAGCAGTAATTAAATTCGAACTGCTTCGCTTCAGTGGTTTTTTTTTTCTTTAAAAAAAAAGATCTTAAAGGCTTAAAAGTTTTTACTAAACTAACAGAAGGAACATCATGTCGCCATAAATCATTCTAATGTGATAAGCTCTTTAAAAATTAATGAGTTAATCAGTTTTTTGTATTTATGTGCGTGTGTGTGTTTGTATGATGCTCTCGGCGAATGAGGATATTGTGGTTTTTCTCCGTTGTGGAATTCCTGGAGAGTGATTACGTGAAAAACAATTAATCACCAGTTTAAGGAACAAATTCTTTTAATAAAAAACGGAAAGCTTTACTCATCTGATGCAGTTGCGTAATTAGATAGTCTATCTAATATCAGGATTATTTTTCATTTAATAAAGTTCTTAAAAGAGTATTAATGAGAAAAATATTACAATAAAAAGTTAATATTTTTAACCTTAAAAATGCACATAGTCTGCGTAGAAATGTTTTCTGTAATTGCCTGGAAAGAAAATTTCGTCCACTAAATTAGAATTTAGTATAGAATCGCTGCACAAGTCGCAGTTATCACAAAATAAATGAAATAAAGTCAGCCGATTTTGTACTAGAGACACACTATATGACATTATTAACTACAATAAAGCTGCAAATATTCATAAGAAATTTCAGTTGGATATAATACAAATTAAATGTAACGTATATTCTGGCGTATATCGCGCACTTTCAATACGAAAGATAAGCTCGAAATTTACGAATGCGCGTTATAAGCCTGGTATAAAAGTGATAGATTAAAAATAAGGAAAAATTCAGCATACAAAACTTGCATTTTTACATGCACCTAAATGCTGTTTATTTAAAGCAAGTGAAAACCTTGTGAATTAAAAAAAGTTCATCATCAGATAACAAGAAATTTCATTCTGTTCGTCTTCTGCTGTATCTTCAGGCACATCATCGAATTTTGTTTCATCTTTACCATCATTTTTATTCTGATCCATAAATAAATAATCATCAACCGTTCCATCTTTCGCCAATACCAAACATCCTTGCTGCAGCACGATTTCCATTTTTTTCGCAAACTTAATCCCTTTGCATTTGAAACAGAGTTGTGTTGCTGTGTTGTTGTGAATTTGATAGGTGCCATATTTATTACTAAAAGGAGTGTTATATCAACTGTATTTTAACTAACACAAATGCGATTTATTAAATTGTTCGATGTTTACTTTAAAATCGTTACTTCAAATGACTTCAGAAAGAGAAAATATCTGATACCAAATCTCGCTTATTTATTCTGGTCAGCAAAGCATTCTTACTCCAAATTCTGCCCCCTTTTCTCAAATTCATGGAATAACATTCTTGTGCACATCTGCATTGTGCCCTCTTAGATAGGCTGTATTCAATGTAGTATTATTTACGCCCTCAAGCATTCCCCTCCCACATCTATTATTCCGCTTATCACTTGTCAGTTCAGTATGCCATTGTTCGAACAATTTGGAAAAAAATCTTCGAAAGCATCACAAATGTATCTTTCAGTGTTCTTTGCAAAGAAAAGAGTGCGCGTTATACGGCGAATAGAACTAAGAATCAATAAATGTAGTTTGAAATTACAGATGCGCGTTTGTAGAGACATTAGGATTTTCTGAAGCGGGAGGGATAGTTGATAGTTGACGGGGGACGTGTGCACCATCCCTTTACCGTAATGGTTAATTGGCATATGCAACACGTCCACCTCTATCTTGAGGAAGCGGGAGAGATGAATAATGAGCAATGTCCTCGCCGGGACTCGAACCACGGACCTCTCGAATATGCACAGAGCGTGCTGACCATTAGACCACGAAGGCCTGCTAAGAAGGCGGGAGAAATACCTTAGACGTTAAACACCGGAATACTTAAATGATATTTCTGTTGATATTACTGAAATTAAGGTATCTACACAAATTTGCGATACGATTTCGTCATCATAAATGAAATATATTGCTTTACCTGTGTCTCGGAAAGGCTGAGTGCCGTGGCCAGTTCCAGTCTTTCTGGAGTGGAAAGGTACCTCTGAGCCTCGAACCTCTTCTCGAGCCCGTGCAGCTGTTGGTCACTAAAGACGGTGCGGGCCTTGCGTCTTCGGCACGGCTTGCCCCCTTCCGACGGGAACAGGGCCCCTGGAAAAGGCAGACCTGAAACGACAACAAATTACCTAAAGATTTCTTCAGAAGTGCTGGTACACTTTAAAATAACCCTCTTAACTAAACCGAAGAGGTACCGCTTTCTTTCAACCTGTAGAAGTACCATAGTTTTCAGTGACAATAAAATTGCGTCCGATACAGATGTACGTTTTTGTTAATGAATAATATCCAAGATCTTTCTTTTATCTTCAGTATTATAAAAATGCTTTGTTCAGCATAGCGTTAAATTAATTGTTTAAACGGTCATTTTATCACAATTTCTTAACATCATCTTGCGACAACTGTTATCTTGTATCTTAGTATCACGAAAAAGTCTGATATGGCCAGCCTATGACATTCCTCCAATTCCAAGATTTATGTAACAAATTTAAAACATGGAATTAGTTTATCTTTGTAAATGAACTATAATGTGCTTACTAGCTTTATGGCTCAGTGTTCATTATAAACGATACTCGTTTTTAATCTCTTGTACAAAGTAAAGGAACTATTGCAGTCGCGAAAAATTTCGGTTATCGTAGTAATGCAATGGAAAATTCGATTTTGACCGTTCTTGAACCGGTTTTGACTATTTTTGTGCGTCTGGTTTCTACGTACGGACATAATAAACGATTCTTTTTGCCAAAACGAATTGTAAAAGAGATTTTAAATGGATTAAATTTGGATTTTTTTCGTGACGTCTATACGCATATATGTATCCCACATAACTGAAACATGATTAGATGTTGATAGTTGAAATTTTGTGTATGGCACTGCTATAATATCTAGTTGTATAGCTTCCTTTTTTATTGCAATCGGAAAACTGATACATACACGATAAGATTAATACGATATACAGGATGTATCAGTACACAGGTGACAAATTTTAAGGAGTGATAGATTACACCTAAACGGTAGGAAATCACATAGCAATTGCATGGTCGGAAACGCTTTCCTGGCGTGGTAGTGGCGACACAAAAATCAAGAAAGAACGGACAAGAACGGGGTTAGAAAACTTGTGTATTATTTGGAGTACATCAAAAACAAAGAAAAAGAGACAACGATCGTCATCAAAGGTGCTCGAAGTTACGACCCAGAACCGTGCGCCATGCATCTTTCATGCGATCTTCCATTCCTGATGCATATCTTCCATACGCGATAAAAGTGAGGCCTGCATCACGGTCCGGGGTCGTAATTTCGAACACTTTCTTTAATGACGATCTCTGTTTGTTTTTGTTCTTATTTTTAGGTTTTGCTATACTAAACATAATAAAATATGTTTTGTCTCACTGTTTGTATACTTCCTTTTTTGCGTTTTGTATCGTCACAACCGCGCCAGGAGAGCGTTTCCGACCATGCATTGCTATGTGATTTCCTATCGTCTATGTGTACTTTATCTCTGGTGAAAATTTGTCACCGCTCTACTGATACACCCTATATATATATATATTATATAAGAATTGCATAGGAATCTATACCCGGAAATGTCTGGGGTAAGTCGTGGCAGAGGTAGAAGATGAGAAAGGAAACAAGAGAGTGATTATTTTGAAGCATTTATTGGACATGAATGCAAATGGTGTTTTGACAGCTTGAATGTTCCAGCAGTTCCTCGAAGTTTGCACCATTAGACGCCAAACATGCCTGACACCGACGGACTATTGATTGCCAGACATGTTCAAACACACCGGGAGTTTCTTTGATTGTAGCAGCTGCATAGGCGAGTCTTGCCACGAGATCCATTTCAGACACAACACGATCCTGATACACAACACTTTTAATGGATCCCCACAAAAAGAAATCAAGGCTCGATAAATACAGCGACTGGGGGGCAGGAAACCGGTCCACCATACCCAAACCATCGATGCGGGAATGATTTGTTCAAATGTCTACAAACGTCCAGTCCAAAATGAACAGGCATTCCATTATGTTGAAATGACATGCTGGGCCTCACATTTGGTGGAACATCGTCAAGCAAGTCGGGAAGAACATGCTCTAGAAAGATCAAATAATTCGCGGCATTCAAATAGTCCATTGGTGTCAGGCATGTTTGACGTCTGATGGTGTAAACTTCGAGCATTTGTTGTAACATTCAAACTGCCGTACACCATTTGTATTCATGTCCAATAAATGTTTCAAATTAATCACTCTTGCTTCTTTTCCCCTCTTCTACCTCTGCTGCCACTTACCCCTGACATTTCCGGGCTTGGGTTCTTATGCAATTCTTAATCCTTATGATGTGCCCTACCTCTCCTAGAAGTTTGTCACAACATTTACGGTACATCTTGTATATCCCTTCTTATTTGGATTAAAAGTCCTTACTCTGTCTTTATTTCTGCAATGGTTGCTTGTAGGCATACACTTCCAATCACAGAAGTGTTTAAAATGACGAAAATATTCGTGTTTGGGCACATAAAATTTTAAAAAAATTACTAGTGAAACGTGGAACATGATTTAGCAAGCATACGCAGGACAGGCACTTTCAAGAAGTCGTGTTTTCGAGTGATACAAAAGGTTTCGTGAAGGCACAGTTTCAGTGCACGGCAATCCCATAGCTAATACCGATGCGAGCAGCATGTAAGGCAGTTATTGCAAGAAGACCGTCGTGCAGCTATGCGTATGACGTCAGAAGAGTTGAATTTAAATCATGATGTGTGTCATAAGATTTTAAGTCAAGATTTAGGGAAACTGAAGCTTGATGCGAGAATCGTCTCTGAATGAGCATATGAACAGAAAGAGGAAAGACAAAGAATTTCTGCTGAACTATTATATAGAGCCACATGTGATCCCACATTTGTGTCAAAGATTATTGTGATTTTTCCTTGTTTCTGTGAGTAAAAAGGTGACTGAAACGAAAGCTTCATCAAGATTATTGCAGAGATCCAACGAGGTTGCAATCATCACATTTGAAGATTTCCCTACTTGCTTCCAAGACCTCCAGAAACGTTGGCAGTTGTGTATAGATAGCCAAGGGAACTACTTTGATAGCAGCTAGAATCATTATTTGGTAAATGCAGTTTTCTACTTTTACGACGTTTGTCCTGGAACTTTTCTGACAAAGAATAATATACGATTGATTTAAATAAAAATGCATAAAAATGAGATATTTAATTAGAAATATTAAAAATTTAAGAAATTAAGTTAGATGAACTCATTAAAATTATTATATACTTTTTGTATGATTGTTATTTTAGGCGGCTAGTTTCTAAAGAAATAATACAGTGAAAATAAAATGAAATGTATGGTAAAGTCTAACATTTTATCGGGAATTTTAAAAGTACGCTATTTTTAAATATTACGTGATTTATACTGTTGTGTTTGATGTCGCGAAGTTCGAAGAGCGTAGTATTTAATAAATAAAATCAAACACACAAAAATTAAGAACTTTAAGACAAAGAAAAGTGTTATAAGACATCTTAACAAGAAAACTGAGCATTGATATGATAAACTGATTTTAAAAAAAAATGGAAAAATATAAGGGGTTTGCTGAACATTTAAGATTTTCTAGAGAATCCAGAACATATGCTGCTATGCTGCTTTAATTTTTTTTTATTTTTCTATAATATTGTATGCGGCATAAGGATGAGGAAAGCAATGCTTAAATAATTAAGCTAAAAAAAGGTCTATTAGCAGGAGTGAATCTAAGAGCAGATTGGTAACATGCGATTCTGAGCATGAACATAAGAAACCTTAAAAAACTGTCTTTTGCAACATTAAAATCTGAATCTTTTCAGATTTTCTTTCTTTTTATTATATGCTATATTTCTTATCATTCGCAAAGCTTTCCATTAATGCTTAAATAAGTACATAGAAAGGTCATGAAACCTTTTTCCCATACAATGTCTACTGCCATCAAAACTGCCTTTTTGATATACTGAATTATCAAAAAGAATATTACACCTGGCAGTATTTCCATCCCACTGCGGAACTTGGCTTCAAAGAAATTGAATAATAAACGAAGTACGAAATAATCTGAAGTGTAAGTTTAAAATAAAATTCTAGTGATAAAACGTGTTACAAAACTAATTGCCAATGATCTTTTTATCAGCTTATTTTTAGCTTCAGTGAGAGAAATTCATGGACATTAAAACTCATCATCAGCTTGCAGAGACATTAGGTTATTTCGAAGTAGGAAAGGTGAAATATTAGCAATGCTCTCGCCGGGACTCGAACCACCGACCTCTCAAATATGCGTCGAGCGTACTGACCAATACACCACGAAAGCATGCTAAGAAGGCGGGAGAAATATCTTATATACTCCCCCTTTTAAAGGGCGACCGGGTTAAGGGAGTAAATCACCGAATCCTGGTGGTGAAGAACCATCATTTACCATCTTTTAGTTCGGGCGCCACTGTAGAGACATTAGGTATTTTTTGAAAGCAGGAGATGAAAAATAAGCAATGACCTCGCCGGGACTCGAACCACGGACCTCTCGAATACGCGTCGAGCGTGCTGATCACTACAACACGTGCTAAGAAGGCGCGAGAAATGCCTTATAAGCTCTCCGCCAAAATCACAAATCTGTCAAATCGTTGTTTCAAGAAAACTGAGTTGAAAGCATCGGCGGGCGAGTGGTTTTCTGAAAAATCTTATCTATGATTTCTACGTAAAATTTTTTCATATTATAATCGGTGGTCATTTATATTCTGATCTTAATGAAATTTTGATGAATAATTTATTCTGATCTTGCTGAAATTTTGCACACTTGAACCTGAAAACAAGAAGGTCACCATCTACGTAAGATTTTAGAAAACCGTTCCACGGGCTCCACACTCAAGACATTTATATAAGAATGGTGATCTCGCAACATCCATCTCGTGTACACATCGCCAAGCTTAGTTTTACAACCCTGTTCTAACCGATTACCTCATGTTAATCATATATGTGTCAGTCCCTGCTAGCCCAGCGGTTGAAATAGAATATCTTTATAATCCAGATTGTACAAATGTCATTGAGCGATTTTGTTTGAAAAATAGCGATAGATGGGGAAAAAAAGCTTTTGATACTCTTTTATTAAGTACTATGTTTATA